AACACGTAGAAAGTCATTATCTCCTATACGTCGTACCGGAGATAATTTGCATTTGCTCTGATTAATGGAGACATTTTTCATCGCGATTGCAAAATAATACCAGGAGTGGGGTTCGAACCCACGCGGACAATTCGTCCATTGGATCTTAAGTCCAACGCCTTAACCACTCGGCCATCCTGGTGTCATCGGGTTTCAAGGCTTGGTTAGATCATTTTGTAGGGCCGTAAAGTACGACGAGTTTCTTACACTTATTTTACGCGTCTTGAGTTCAATAAATCACTTACTGACCGAGCTTACTTGGTCCTAAAGATTGAGGAATAAAGGGCGTGAGTTTCTTAAGAAACTGTGGTGCTGCGTCGTTGGGAGAGTATAACAGAGTAATTTAGTATTATTAACTGAGTTAATAACGTAAATAAGTCACCTGAAAGAGTTTAAAAGCTGACATTTGAAGCATATCGCGCCCAAAAAAATTGATCGACAGTCGGCGCTACAAACAGCTTAGAAGGAAAATACTGATTGTATTCCATTCACTCTCACGTTTCACCCTCACAACCACGCATTCTTAAAAGCTTTGAACTACTTCAGAACGATTCAGAGACTGGTACTATCTTTTTGCAATCTCCACTAATTTCAATCAAAGGTGACAAAAACATAGGCAACTTTATGGTCAGAAGTTCATTTCAAACCAATTTATTGTGAAGTGGTATTCAATTGCATTGGCAACGATTCCTGTCTTAATTAGAAGCGTAGGATAATCTTGCAAAGCTTCGTTTGAAAACCTTAAGTCGTTTCTGAATAGCCTTTTTTGAACAATACATTATCATTTAATACTCTGCCATAATCATTATGACTGCTTGATAGAAAATGAAAATTGATCCTCAAGTTAAATTCATCCGCGGTAACAGCAGGCAAATAACCTTTCCTTTTTCCCACATCAACGTCAATTCAGCTACAGCGCCGACCGCCATGGGCTTTATATTTTCAACTTCTTTGAAGAGATACTCCAGACACTAATCTCAATCTTTTGTTTATAGGACAATCTATTCAAGTCCTTTCTAGAAAAACCTAAGCCGTTTTTGAGTGCACTCTACATATCTTAATTAATATCAGTGAATACTCTTGAAATTTATGTTCACTGCTCCAGTAGTTCCCAAAACAGAGTTTAATTACTTTTGCGACTCGTGAGCTGTTTTTTTGGACGTCAACACAGCCGGCCGAAGAAAAAATGGAGGTAGAAGAGAATACCTCGGATAGATGCCGTTGGATAAAAGTCAACTGGAAATGGGGCCAAATCGGAAGAGTGCAGCTTGGCATTTTCCTCCGCTTCAACCCGGTTGTCACGTTTCTGTCCGCCGCAATCATTTGGTCTATGGTGATATGGTGCACAGTCCAAGCCAAGTTCGCCAAAGAAGAGATGTCGAGATGGACGTTGTGGATTACAGAGGTCTTCACATGGATGTATATCGGTACCTCGGATATCTGGGCGGTGTTCATAGTGGTGCTGTATTTCTCCAAGTACGGAAACATGAAACTTGGAAAGCCAGATGACAAACCGGAGTTTGGTGATTTGACTTACTTTACTATGTTGTTCGCCGCCGGTGTTGCTATTGGGTTGTTCTATTTCGGAGTAGGTGAGATGAAATGATAGCTGGATGATACCCTATGGCTAAAAAATTATTTCACGATTAAGCTTCCTGCAAACACAAGAACACAAATTGAACTTTGATTTTAAGTAATTTCCTTCTAATTCGAAAGAAGATCCAACAATACTAACTAACAATACTCCTTTCACAAATGCAAGAAATGCAAGGAACTGTTTTCTTCATTTCATCGTACTTGTCTTATGGGTAAATCAAAATCAAAGCGCTCCATTCATCATTAGAGGAAAGTGAGCACATTTCAACGGTCTAGATTAAAAAATTTGGCGTCCATGAGGCCTCGCCATGGTCGTCTGTGCAATTTTACTGTGCTACACAGCCTGCTCTATCAGGAAATAGTTTAATCATTGATTTTCATTTCTTTTGTTTTGACTTTCAGCTGAAACTGTTTGGCATTATGTACCTGAGGAATATGGGAATCGTTACTGGGGCAGGTAAATAAAACGGTATTTTAACCTGAGAGACCAATCTTATTTAGTCTGAATTCTGTCCTAAATGGGGAGGCAACTTCGAATTCCGACAGTCGTATTAAATCTTAAATACTACCAGTCTATTCCTATCGAGGAGAACCCAACACCATCATGTTAACGATCTCACGCTGATGACTCCTTACGGAGCCAAAACGAGCTTACGAAGCCAAGTAGGGTCATGATGGCTTACTTTTCATTTCCCATTTTTAAAGTTTTATTTTGATAGTGGTTTGTAAGGAGTAAAGTAAAACCAAAATAAAATGCACATACAAAGCTGTCAACCACAGTGACATAACACAACAATTGTTACTATATGAATTTATCAGGATCTTCTTCTAAAAAGCAGTGAAAAACTAGTGCTCCTTCCACCATCGCCATAGGAGCATTCTGCCTTAGCATTAGCATACCAGACACTACATTTTTGTAATGAATAAGGTTTGACTTTTCTATTGTCTAACATACGATTTAGTTGGACAACGGCCTCTGAAAAACGTCGTCTACTTCTAATAACACATCGTCAAGTAGCTCACAATCTCCTAATGGTGTTCAAGGTTGTTTATTCTTATATGCGACTCGCATTGCATACATTCAATTAAAGGGGATATATCTCTTAAAAACCAAAAATATTAAAATATTCTGATATTAGCCATGGGAGTTTATCGTTTAATTCTATTCAATAAAATTTCTTTGTGCCAACTTCATTCGTATTTGAACTTCTTAATGGCCTTAGTAGAGAATCAGAGCGTAGAATCTGAAGGTCTGAGGTTCGATTCCGCGCGGGGACTCTTATTGTCTCTCTGTCCCACGCTGGTGACAAGGCGAAAAACATCTTTCCCTGAAGTTAATTTAGACACCTTTAATTTCTTTTTATCCTGACATTTAGGTATAGCGATAATCAGCGTGCACAGGACGCCATCAACTTGACCCTTTTTCACTGGGGTGTCCATGGATGGATCGTGTATGTTGTAGTGGGTCTTCTTTTGGCTTTTGTGGCTTTCAGAAAAGGTCTACCCATGACCATTCGGTCCTGCTTCTACCCTCTAATTGGCGACAAGATCTACGGCTGGATGGGTGATGCTGTGGACATATTCTCGGTAGTGTGCACCATGTTTGGAGTTTGCACCAGTCTTGGTATTGGTACCATGCAGATCAACAGTGGTTTCAAGCGTTTAATCAACTCTATCGAGTATTCCACAACTAACCAGATTATAATCATTTGGGCTGTCACTGTGTGCGCAACAGCATCTGTGGTGAGCGGCTTGAAAATTGGAATTCGTCGGCTGAGCGAGGCTTGCTTCACGCTGGGTATGTTCATCATGCTGACTTGTCTATTTGCCGACAATACTTGGCATGCATTAAATGTCTACGTGCAGAGTACTGGTTACTACCTTCAGTGGATCATCCAAATTGGCTTCCATACAGATGCTTTCGCACAACTGGGAAATGCACCCGATGGAAAGCAAGCTGAACGATGGTTCAACGACTGGACCATATTCTATTGGGGATGGTGGATAGCCTGGTCACCATTTGTGGGTATGTTCATTGCGAAGATCTCCAAGGGAAGAACCATCCGACAATTCATTAACGCCACAATGACAGCTCCAATTCTTTACGTTTTCTTGTGGCTTTGTATCTTTGGTAGTGCAGGCTTGAGGATGGAACGTGATGCCGCACTAGCAAACATAACGTGCTCTTCCCCGAAGGGAGGGGCAGGAGCGACCTCCTCTTTGAATGGCCTATACCGTCTGTCTTGCCGACAAACGACCGAAATGTGGTTTGATGTTATCGAACAGTATGGAGACCTTGGAACGTTCCTATCTGTGATCTCACTCATCAGTATTGTTATGTATTTTGTAACCAGTTCGGATAGTGGTTCCCTTGTGATTGATTGTCTGTCAGCAAATGGAGATCCAGAACCTCCTGTCATACAGCGTATCTTCTGGGCCCTGACAGAAGGTGCAACAGCTACAGCTCTGCTGAATGCTGGTGGTCGAGACGGTCTTGTGGCCTTGCAGACCATGTCAGTAGCATCCGGCGTCCCTTACACCATACTGCTTTGTTTTATGTGCGTGGCACTATGGCGGGCTGTGAAGATGGA